CAGCCACAGCTAATGGAAACCCGGAGGAACAGTAAGTTCTTTTAATGTTTGGGGGAAAGGCAAGTTCTTACATAGATCCCTCTGTAGATTCATCGTCAAGGATCGTGCTACGGCCTTCACCAGTGCCCAACGCTCCCTGATGGTCATGCAGGTTCTGATACGCACACCTTACGACGAAACCGATCGCAGTGGCATACGGCGATTGATGAACGATGGTACGTACCTGGGGTGCTTCCCCCTGCACGAGGGGCGATACGATCGGCCGCACTCCAGCGGCATCTCCCTCGACAGGCGGGTGCTGTACCAGACCTGGGCACATCCCTCGCAGTGGTACAAGAAACAGCCGCTCTGCCTGGTGCGCAAGTACTTTGGGGACAAGATAGCGCTGTACTTCTGCTGGCTCGGCTTCTACACGGAAATGCTAGTGTACCCCTCCGTGGTGGGCACTCTCTGTTTCATCTACGGCTTGGCCACCCTGGAGTCCGAAGACAACACGCCCAGCAAGGAGATATGCAACGAGTTTGGCACCGGCAACATCACCCTATGCCCACTCTGTGACAAGGCTTGTAGCTACCAGAGGCTGTCAGAGTCCTGCCTCTTCTCGCGTCTCACTTACCTATTTGACAATCCTTCGACTGTATTCTTCGCCATATTCATGTCCTTCTGGGGTAAGTGTCTCTACAGTGCCATAAGTAGGATCAGGAAATAAGTCATCTTTTGCCAATAGCCACTACCTTTCTGGAGCTATGGAAACGCAAACAGTCGGTCCTTGTTTGGGAATGGGATTTGCACAACGTCGACATGGATGAGGAGAACCGACCTGAGTTCGAGACTAATGCGACTACATTCCGAATGAATCCCGTCACACGCGAGAAGGAGCCCTACATGTCCACCTGGAACCGGGCCATTCGATTCGTTGTCACCGGCAGTGCGGTGCTCTTTATGGTGGGTGCTCAGATTAAAAATATCTCTATATTTTCGTCGTCGTCGTGGTCTTGCAACACCCAGAAGAAAGCGTCTCCAACCCCATAAAGAATATATATGTATATATACTTGATCAGCGTCAATAGTCGAGTCGATATAGCTGTGTTTGTCTTTCCGGCCGTCCGTCTTGATGAGCGCCTCGCAATCAAATGCTGTATTCCTGTGATATCACACTATTTCACGTGTATTACAAAGTTTCGCCCCACACGCTGCCGCCCTTCCAAAGGACGAGTCCAAAATATTTTCCAGATGGCTGAATCTGGCTTAGATCGAATCATTATTATAGCCAAAAGGATAAAAGGATACTACGATAACTCGTCCACGCGCTTACTTATTTTCTATCTCTCACTCTCTATCTCTCCCACTCTCCCTCGTGCGGTGTGCGCCCCTGGTGGAGGGAAATGAGATAGCAACACACACATAATCGTTTTCTGTTTCCTTTTGATACTGTCCTCCGTTTAATGTTGTTAGAAATTTGAGTCATCATGGTTTCTGCTGGTAGATTCTAGATAAATCGCGATGCATCGATGATATTTTGCTTGTTGCTTAAGCAAGTGCGACGGGAGTTGGCGCCAGAGCGACGCTAGAGAGGCTTGCGCAGAGGCTTAGCCACTAGTCATTTAATAATTCAACTACGTTCTTGGTCCATTTCAGATCTCCGTGGTGCTGTCCGCTGTCCTGGGTACCATCCTGTACCGCATTACGCTGGTGTCGGTAATCTATGGCGGCGGTGGATTTTTCGTGAAGGAGCATGCCAAACTTTTCACCAGTGTCACAGCCGCCTTGATCAATCTGGTGGTCATAATGATACTCACACGAGTACGTTATGCTCCTGGAGTTCAAAAACACTTGTTATTGATGTACGCTTCTTTTTTTGTGCACAGATCTATCATCGCATGGCAATCAGGCTAACGAATTTGGAGAATCCGCGCACCCACACCGAGTACGAGGACTCCTATACGTTCAAGATCTTCTTCTTTGAGTTCATGAACTTCTACTCGTCGCTCATCTATATTGCCTTCTTCAAGGGCCGCTTCTTCGACTATCCCGGGGACGAAGGGGCGCGTCGGAGCGAGTTTTTCCGTTTGAAGAACGACATCTGTGACCCGGCGGGATGCTTGTCCGAGCTTTGCATCCAACTGGCCATCATCATGGTGGGCAAGCAGTGTTGGAATAACTTTATGGAGTATCTGTTTCCCAAGTTCTGGAACTGGTGGCGCCAGCGAAAACACAAACAGGTAATCGAGGTACGGATTGACCCAATAGATCGTTTTTTTAATTTTCGTTTTATTTCACTTTCCAGGCGACAAAGGACGAGTCACATCTGCACATGGCTTGGGAGCAGGACTACCATATGCAGGACCCGGGTCGCCTCGCCCTTTTCGATGAGTACCTGGAGATGAGTGAGTAGCGTCCTAGAAGGTGCCTTCCATGAGACTAATCTCTTTAAAAATAGTTCTGCAATACGGCTTCGTCACCCTGTTCGTGGCCGCATTTCCCCTGGCCCCGCTCTTTGCGCTTCTTAACAATGTGGCCGAGATCCGGCTGGATGCATACAAGATGGTGACGCAGGCTAGGCGCCCACTGGCCGAGCGCGTCGAGGATATTGGGGCCTGGTACGGCATCCTACGAATCATCACCTACACGGCCGTCGTCTCGAATGCCTTCGTGATCGCCTACACCAGCGATTTTATACCGCGCATGGTCTACAAGTTCGTATACTCAGAGACCCACACCCTGGCCGGCTACATAGAGCATTCGCTCTCGATATTTAACACCTCGGACTACAAGGAGGAGTGGGGCGCCTCGGTCAGCGAACGCGATCCAGACACCTGTCAATATCGGGGCTATCGGTAGGCCGAAATCCTTTTGTATCTCCCCCACGGATGCTCACAACCATTCATAATCCCTTTGCAGGAACGGCCCCAAGGACTACGATGCCTATGGCCTGAGTCCTCATTACTGGCACGTGTTCGCCGCTCGTCTAGCCTTTGTCGTGGTCTTTGAGGTCTGTAGGTCTGTCCATCCGCTAAAAGGACTGTCGCTGAATTTTCCTTTCACCCTGAGCAGCACGTCGTGTTTGTAATCACCGGCATCATGCAATTCATCATACCCGATGTGCCGTCCGAGGTGAAGACGCAGATGCAGCGCGAACAGCTGCTGGCCAAGGAGGCTAAGTACCAACACGGCATCAAGCGGGCCCAGGGCGACAGCCAGGACATCATGAGTCTGTTCCGCGATGCCAGCAACCGGACATCGGTGGCCGGCAGCCAGGGCACCAACCGCGGCAGCTGGGCACGACGATTCAGTCGCCTCAGCGACGGACTCGATGCCCATGTGGAGGTGGCCGCCCGGCCTCGACGGTCTGTTGAGTCCACCGTCTGGGAGGTACCCTGACACGAGGAGGAGGCCGAGAGCGAGGCTAACGTGTCGAGCAAGGGATGAGACCGCAACTTGCAGACCACAAGCAATGCCGAGTAATAGCTCAAAAAAAAAACACTCTCACCTCCATTATGTCAATGGAACTCTATCCCCATTCGCAAATTACGGTTGATTGTCGACTGTCCGTCCACTGCTTATTTTTCTAGCTTTACCGATCTCATGATAAATTGTAAATAAATCCCTTTCAATGTTGTAAGTCGGTTGAAGTTTTCTGATCCTTTACCATTTCGGGGTAGGTCGAGTTCTCCCCAAATATAGCCGTAGTCTTCTGCCAGCTATAAAATTATTATAGCCAGGAACTAGCTAGCACCCCGCCGGACCTGCCGTTTCCAACACAACATGTTTACAGCCGGGGTGAGGTTTTGTTTGCTCGAATCAAGCTGGAAGCTAAGAAAATGTAATAGCAACACACGTTTGATACGTAAAAGTGACACACAATTTTTTGTTTGGCGAAAATTATTTAATAATGAACAAGAAACTCTCGCCGGAAGATGCATTCTACGAAAATTTGACGCTGGGCCTCATCAAGACGCTCTGTAAGTATCCACCGGTGGAATGATGAACCATCCAGCTAGCGCTCCTCTCACTTCCGCAAACCCTCATGCCCTGCCAGCGACCGTGCCGCGAGTGTGCAATGTGAACCTGGAGCGACGACAACCGCTGAACGCCTGCCAGGTGGTGAACTGGGAGCAGAGACACTGTGTCTACCTGCCGGAGGACATGAAGAAGTTCTACCTGTCCACCGACGGATTCGTGCTCAACTGGAGCTATCAGTATGCGCGTGAGTAGTGCGTAGTGCTATGCGGAGACCTGCTCCTACACATATCCCTGCTTCCACCACCGGACAGCCAATGACATTCGCCGCGTGGGACACATCTACTTTCCGCACCTGCTGCAGGTGACCCTTCTTCGGGAGAACATCGAGACGACGCACTCCAGCAGTGGGGTTGCTCATACGCCGAATGCCACCACCTCTGACTTGCCGGCAGCTGGCTCCAGTTCGACGGCCAGTCTTTTGCCCCTGGGAATGCCGAGCGCCTCTAGTGGCACGGGCAAGGACAAGTGGGGAAACGCCACGCCAACCATCACGGCCAAGTCCAAGATATTCGAGATAAACAACATCAACGAGATGGCAAAGGTGACACAGATCTCTTTTGTGTCCTCAGACTCCAGATATTGACTTGCTTTCCGTTTCTTCCAGGTATGCATGTTGTACGAGTCGACAAGCTCGAATAATCCAAAGTTCTATTTGCTGGAGCTGAACACCCTGAGCTGGCAGTTCCTGGCGGAGACCTTCAGCGAATACCTACGGATGTCCATCGCCCATCTGGGACTACCCTACTGGGAGCTGTGCTTCTCCAGCTTCGGCCTTCCTTCGTGGACCGAGCAGCTCTTCCTACTGCTCGCCCCCCACCTGCTCGAGGAGCACGAGCTGAGGCGCGGCCGCGTCCTCAATCCGGCCTGCGAGCACCCTTACAACATCATCGATCCCAACATATTCCGGGGCAAGCCAAAGAGCGTGGCCAAGGCGGCGGCGGCCAGCAGTACCAAGCAGAGTAATAAGTGAATCCGGATTTCTATAGAAAAGTAAAGGTTTATTTGTGAAGAAAAAGCACAAGACGGCAACGAAACATAAATGCTACAACATAATATCAGTAGACGGGCACACAGATCATCTCTGAAGGTGATTTAATTGGATGTGGATGGGGATGTGGGGAGGGTGAGCTTTAGTAAAACTCCGAGCTTTTGTCCTCCAATTCACACAGCAATTTGTCCCTGATCTGCGGTTTGGGATCCTCGGTTATCTCCGTGGAAACGGCGCCCACCTGACCGAGCATAAACTCTAGCTCCTCAACCGTCAGCTTATCTCCGCGCAGCTCCAAGGGGCCAATAAACTGCTTGCGCATGGCGCCCTGGTGGTAGATGAATATCGTGGGCAGGTTCTTTTCGGGGAAGTTGGGTATGCAAGTGGTGGCAACAGAGCGCAGGAATTTTGTGTGCGGAAACCGCACGGCCAGCTGCTTCATGTGGTGGTGGATGAGAGCGCAGAGCGGAACGCCGTTGGCGTACAGGTGCAGCACCACCCAGATGCCCTCGCCGGCCTTGGTAACCTCGCTGATATAATCCTGCCCCGAGATTTCACGCACGCTGCCAAACCTGGCCTTCTCGGATGTGGCGCGCATCTCCGCAATGCGCTTCTGGCGGTACTGCTCCAGCACAGCCTCGTCTTCGGAGTCTTCCAGCTCATCTAGCTCATCCAGCGACATGTCATTGATCTTTTTGTCGCGCTGTCCCTCACTATGGGGCAGATTTGTGCGCCGCTGTATCGCTTCGTCCATCAGCGCTTGGATCTGGTCCTCTGTGATTTCGGCCTCCTTTTGCTTGGGTCCAATGATTCCCTTGGCCCGCAGCACATCATTCCACTCGGTGTCTTCATTTGGGTCCTGCAAAAGACCGAGCCACGTGAGTTTTCATTCACAGTCCATTTATTTTTGGCCTGCCACAGCGACTCGCATCTGCCCAAATATGGAATTTCATATTTCAGGTGCAGCACACACCCACAAAAGTGGAACTCCAAGCTTTTCCAGCACAGCAGGCGCTGGCCATGCGTGGAAATCTACCCCTCACCTGCATTGTCAGTGATTATTGGTGGTAAAAACGACGCGAATTGGATACAGTTAAGAGATAAAAATAAAACCGAATCTTCAAATGACTCATGGCCAGCGGATTAATCGACTCTCAGAAATATACCGAAATATGCCGTCTTTTTCAAAATATACCGTAAATATACCGATGAAGAAGACGAATTTAACCCACTTAACTCCTAATATTCAGATCCGAAAATAGGTTTGCTTGCAGAACGTTTCATATATTTAGCTAGCGGCCGAGTGTGACCAGGTGTGCATGCCCTACGGCTACACTGTTATGCGTTTGTTTGCAAATTTCAAATTTTATTTGAAAGCATGTATTAATTGTGGGCGCTAAAGCACCGCAATATTTGATAAATCCGTTATTCCGTAACAGAAATGTAATCAACCTGTATTTCATTCCCTAAATTCCATAACAATTCCCCCTGCTCGACCGCCTTTATTAATTTTACTATGTCGTCGTCGCAAAATTCTCTTAATCGCTTGTTTGGTTTCTATTTGTGGCTGCCCATTTCAACGTTGTACTTGAAATACTCACAGAATAAGCGGCGAGAATATCAATCCTGATTTTGCTCACGTACACATTTTTCGGATCTAAGTACTGGGCCAGTCTTTAGACGCTAGATGAGACTTTACTGTGAGGTCATGTTGGAGAGGAAGAACGACTCACCACCACCGAACCTAAAGCAATGCCACCTCTTCTATACCAGTGGTTCCGACTGTTCAGAAAGAGCATACCAATATGGATCAAGTTTTCAGAAAGCCCCTCCATGGAAGACTGCACGCGTGTATACACAGTCTTTCTCTAGTCGCACATAGCTCTTTTTATTCCATTAAAACAATTGTCATTTTATACATAGGGAAAAATTCAACATTATTTAATAAACACTAGCTACAGGTTTCTTTAAGTTCTAGTAAGATCAAGCAGCATACATTCTAACAATCCTTAAAATCTTATACAGCCTTTTCTCACTTGCTTCGAACAGATCGTATACCAGTTTCTGTCGATAATGGCCGCTCGTTAACTACATCTAATTCTTGCTGGTCGATGTGGCACCCTCAGATAACTTGTAATAGTTGTTAAAATTAATAACACGTATCAGGTCTCCGATTTCTTCTTGGTACCCAGAGGCAGCCAACTTGTTGCCTAAGTAGATGAAGTATTGCAGGAACTTCTCGAACTCTGCCTCCTCGTGCGCCAGGCGCTTGTAGCGCGGATGCACAAAAACCTCGCCGTCGATCACGAAAGACTGCGACTGAAGAACCCTGTAAAGGAAGGATCAATTAGATCTCCGTCGACCATTTTAAATGGGGAAAAACATACTTGCAAAACCTCAACACAATCACAAGAATGCCGTCAATTGTTTCTTTGATCTTGGCGCTACGACGATTGAGCAGTGCCAGGAATGCTACCCGCTTCAAATACGCCACATGCATCCGGTAGAGACCCTCGATGGAGTCGCAGCCACACAAGTCCTTCTTGAAGGCGTTCCACGTGGCCTGCAACGCGTTTGCAACGAGATGGGTCTGTAACGTGGTCATAAAGTGCGACAGCTTGTGGCGCACCGCCTGCAGGTGCCTAAACTGGTGCGCAGTGCGGAGTGCTGCTCCGTGCAGCTTGGCCAGGTGCTGTAGGTGCTGGAAGGCGCCTTCGAGCACAAAGGTGACGTGCCGCAGCTTCAGCAGATGCTCAAAGATCTGCCCGTACTTGGTGATTGTTTCACCGCTAATCACCAAGTTAAGCGGCCAATTTACCTTGCACTTTAGCGTCAGCATGCCTGTGGCCTCCAGCGACATAAAGTCCAGGCCATCCGGTATCTTTGTGCAGTCCAATGTGAGATTCTGTGCCACAAGGGTGTCGTCGGACGCCGCACAGCCTCCTAGCGCGTTGTTGAGAATGACGTCCAGCACACCTTTCTGGCACAGGCTGCGGGGATCCATGCCCGCCCTAATGTTGCCAAAAATCCCGCCCGTGAGCTGTGTCCCAAACTCGCCGTTCAGCAGAAAGAAGTAGTTTCGCAGCATGCGAAAGTGCTCATAGATGTGCTGCTCCTTGAAGATACGTAGCACCTCGTTGCGAAGCAGCGCGTAGTGCGCACTGACCGGCTCCATCACGGACATCTGCAGGCAGCGCCTGGCCATAAATGGATTACACGACTCCGGCACCAAAACGGCTGAGATCTGAGGCTCTTCGTGTTCCGCTATCTTTCCAAAATTTGTTGGCCAGCTAACCGCTGGGAGTCTGCTGGTCATTGAAGTTACTCTTCTCTCCACAGACGCTTGTGCAGGCTCAACAGCCAATGGATTGGCCGGCAAAAGCGGTTCAGGATCCTGTTCATGACCGGCATTACTAATAAGAGCATGTCCGTTGTAATCCGTTGCATCTGTCTCAGACTCTTCTTCTTTGAAAGGATTGTGGTCGGAGAGCCCATCGATATCCACATCGGATGTGGTGGACATGGGAGTAGCAGCATCCAGAGGCACCTCCAAATGTAGCTTGTTCAGTTCGAGGGGCAAGTGCAAGCCGCTCTCCGCAATCGAGGACAATGGGATGGTAATTTTTCTGCAAATGCTCGGAATATCAAACTCGCTTGCCATCACCCGTCGCCGATTCCTGGCCAGCGGCGAGTCCGACCTCAGCTGGCACTTGACGCGCTCGGTGTGCACATCCTCCATGGAGTTGAAGGCATTGAAGCCATCATGCTGCAGCATACGCTGTCGGTTCCGCTGCAGATCACTCTGCTCAGTGGTTTCCTCCAACCTATTGAGGTTCATGTTGATGTCCGGAGGCAGGAAGGCCCTTAGCTCTGTTCCTGTGCTTGACGACTCCTCCAGATGCACCTCCGATTGGCATTCCTGCAACAGCGCGGAGGACAACATTTTCCGACGATTGCGGTTCAGCTCTGAGGGTAAAGAGGGCTCTTCTTCGTTGGAATTCAGAACATCCGAGTGAGTTCTTTGATATGGCACAACAGAGGCAGGGGCAGGCTCTGGGTCTACTGCATTTTGTTCTTCATCGACGGATTTAGGGGGGTCTGTTGCTTTTTGTTCTTCATCAACCGATGAAGAAGGGTCTGCGTCTGTCTGTAGATCTGCGTCTGTGCCTTCAAGGCAAGATTTAAAGCTGGTATTTGAACTATTATCTGGGCTCTCGGCCATTTCCCATCCTGAAGCATCCTCGGCTGCCAGGTCCCGCTGTCGGAGTACTTGTATTTTATTTATCAGAGCCAGCTTCTCCCGTTCCAGCAGCTGATCCTCGTACCGTTCACGGTCCCGCTGATGCTGCAGCTCTTGAACGACCTCCAGGCGGCGCTGCTGGACACGATTCCTTTGCTGGAGTTCCTGCTCTGCGTTGATCTTGTCGTAGAGCAGCCGCTTTTTGGCATTCGATTCCAGGAGGAGCTCGCGCTGCTCCTCCTCCCAGGCAGCAATAAAGGACTCCGTTCGCTCGACCATGCGGTTCTTGAAACGAAGCTTGGATGCCATCCGCTCCTCAAAGATGCTTTTCATGCTGCACTTTTCAAAGGTTTGTCGGATCCTGTTGTATTTATCGTTCAAGTTCCTGCGCATCGTCGTAAGCTGCTGCTCCGAGAGACAAACAACTATATCGGGGTATGCCACATCAAAGGCGGGATGCTGCAATTCGTATAGATTGGTTATAAGAGGGAACCTTTCATGTTTTCCTTCAGTTAAATCGCTCTCACCTGAGCATTGCAAGCCTTGAGCAGGCGATTGTATTTTCCACAATGGAGAATGACAGTTTCGCAGCCCGACAAGAAGTCTGGCACTTCCTCCTCGTGCACCTGATATCCCTTATCGAAGAACTCTTTGCTGCACTCGTCGATCTGTCGATCCAATGGCGCACGGCGTCTGATAAAGATCTCGTTCACCGCTTCGTCTAGTTCGCCCTTGTAGACCCATCGCTGGAGCTGCGCAAAGTAGGTCTGGCACATGCACTTTAGCAAATACATCAGCAGCTGCAAGAAGTCGGTATTGCTGCACGTGTCGATGGCCGACCCGATGCTGGCTAGTATAAATGTCCCCGAAACACCAGAGTGCAAGTTCACTGGAAATGTCGGTCAAGAATTATGGTGGGCAGTTAAGAATGGGATCGGTATGTCATGTTCTTACAACTAGGTTCCGTCTCGAACATTCTCTCGAGATGCTGCAGCAGTCGCATGGCGGGCTGGGCGCTCATCAGCAGCTGCGAAAAGCTTTCGGCGGGCAGGGAGAGAAAAAACTGTCGATTGGTGGACAAAAAATCAATGATGGTGTCCCGCATGGCCTGAAAACGTAAGACGATAGACTTAAGTATTTTTAAAGATTGAGATTCGAGAGTGGGATATTAACCCGATTAAGGGGTCCCTCCAGACGAGGTCCTCGGCTCTTGATGCGGGCACTCAGGCGACGGAAGGCGGTGCCAGACTCTAGGAAGGGCTGTACAAAATCGGACAGCACCTCGGGCAGCACAGTCCGCACTGTAGTGTTTCTTTTTATTTGGAGCTGATCCCCGCCTCCGGCTGGGCACTCGAACGTCTCCGATTGCAGGCCAGCGGCGGCCTTCTTCAAATGATCAATGAGCTCTGCCTGATCGATGTAGTACAGCACCAAATCTTTGTTCTGAAGAAGCAACAGTTCATTGCTCATGCTGATATCCGACAAAAAGTGCTTCTCAGGCTTGCCCTCGGCGATGAAGTTCCTCTCCAGCTTTTCCCGGCCCATCTGACCCGGCAAAGGGCTTTTTACTGGCAGCGGCAGGCGATATGTCAAGCGCATCATTTGGTCCTTGGGCTCCCTTATGCGAGCCATGGACTCTGAGATGGCGGAGCAAGTCACGGAGGCGGCCACCAACTGCTGGCGCTTGGGGGCAGCGCGGTGCACACCGAATCTGCTCAATAGAAAATCAAAGCGGGGCTGGAACTGGAGTGGCTTGCCTTGCCGTCGCAAATCATCGACGGACGTTAACATCGTTCTTTTACGGTCATTTAGAGCGGCATAGCCTTCACTGCCGTCGGTAGGTTTATTTAGCTGCAGTGGTCCTGGCTGCAACAGCTTGAGTCTGAACCTTGAAACCTTCCAGCCATCAGATTCCATCTGCAAAGGGATGACAGCATCCGCGATGAATGGATCCTGAGAGCCGAGTATGTGCTGAAAGTGTCGCAACATTTCGTTTTTTCGATCGCCGCTCATTTCTAGGTACACCTTCCGCAAGAACGCCTCCTTGGTGGAGGACGGCATTGTACCATTCCGCAGCAGAGCCTCGAAAATCCAGCTGCGCTTTTTGGCCACAGACGCAGCTGTTGGCCGTTTCGGGCCACTCTCCTGGGCGGCCAACAAAGTAGCCAGATGGGTGACCACATCGAGCAGACTGTGGGTGCATTCGTCGAATGCATCCATTAAAGTTCGTTTTGAAGGCCAATTTTTATAAACAAAACAAAATACCAAAAACAATGTACATTTTCAGCGCGCCGAATACACAAATTAGTCGGTGCTAGTGGTGGGCACTGTGAATATCGATGACTATCGATAAGTGTGGCGGTTAATTTAAATAATTTAAAACCCTCAGACCAGACGCTGGTTGTTCATGTGAATTTTAATTATATATTTACAAAATGTACGCATATTATATGCATCTTAGCCGATTCGTTTACCTTAAAGATTACACTGCCAAATGCCAGTTTTCCCCAACTAAGAGTAAGAGTTTTAAGAGAAAAGCATTACAATGTAGTAGTACGAACAGGACTTTTATTTTAGTTAATTAATAGCCATATACCTGGCTTCATTTACAACAGATTCTATTTCCAGTTTGGTTTTCGCATTAAAAATTGAATTCGGCAAGCTTGAACGAGACTTTTGCCTTCTGGGAGGTCTTACAATACGAGAAAAATGTAGCTTGCTGGCTCCAACTTATGTTTATTATGCTTTTAATACTTAAGGCTACATACAATCTGGGTAGGTTAAGATAATGTTACGCAGATACGGGTATATATATGCATATTCTGCAACAAGCTTCGTGCTGCCCAACTTCCTTGGCATGAGAAATGACTTGATCTTGAGATTTGGGGGGTACAAGTAGTGTGTGTGTGTGTGTGTTTAACCGAAGGAATATGCTGAGCAGTTTCTCTTAAAAATTAATAAGGTTTTGGAGAACCGATCTTTTTGGGAGTTTTATGAACACAAAAAAAAAAAACCAACTGAAACATCCGCGAAATGCTTGTAGTTGGGCTGAAAGTGCGCCGCAATTAGCATTTGAAATTTAGGTTATATGTTAGGAGCATTTGAGGGGTGGGCTGCTGGGAGAGGGCTTTGCGTTTGGGGATGTGTGTTTGGGTGTTTTGGGGGAGGCGTTACGACAGCTTAGCTTGTCGCTGGGAACTTGTTGCAGGGCTGAATGATCGAGGTCTTGCGTGCCGGCACGGTCTCGGGTGTTGGTATGGCTTCGCCGGTGGTCACCTTGTTGGCAAAGACCTGCTTGACGCTGCCACCCTTCTGCTTGGCCATCTGATAGTCACCCGAATCGAAGAACTTTTGCTGCAGAAGGGTAGAGATTATGTGAGACGGACCAGGGCATGGGCACATGGCACACTTACCCCCTTCTGCAGACGCTTCTGGAGGAACGCCGAGTGGCCTCCGGGCACACGCATGCCGCTCGAGTACTTCGACTTAAGCTTCTCCTCCTCAATCTTCTCGAGATCCCTGGGATTGGTCTGCTCAGGGGCCTCGCCCTCCTGGGGCGTGGTGGCCGGGCTGCTGCTGTTGTTATCCTCCGTGGAGCTCATGGTAATCTGGTTTCTAAAAACACAATGAAGTTCGGATTAGAAAATGCCTGAAACTAATTCCGACTAATGGTTTCGGTGGCGAGAACTTGTCAAAAATGGCGGCGCCGTTTTTCCAAAACAATGAGAGAACGGCTACAGTCGAGTGACTCGACATTTGGGATACCCGGTAACCTGATCAGTAGAGGCACTGCAGCTGCTGCCTCGTACTGCTGCTCAAGTTACTCTGGCGGAAAGATGAGAATTTGTTTTCCAACTTGGACTGGACTGAAAAAACGGCGACCATTTCTCTAGTATAGGTAGATAATGATATTAGTTGCTTTTTGTGATCCTCTGCTATGAAACGCGTTCTTCTTCAACGCTTTACGAACGCAATACCATACCGTACTAATACTGTGTATACCTTGCAAGTACCGAGTATAGAAATCAAGAGCAATACGCCTGGAATCTGAGGCGCGAAAAATGCCAAATAAAAATTGCATTTCATCACACATACACACACATGCACACAAGTAAACGGCAGGACGGCAAAAGTAGGCACATACACACACACACACACAAACACACATCCAAATAAGACTAACTTTGGTGATATATGGACGACGCGACGTCGTCGGCGCCTGCTGCACGCTAATATACTGGTAATAATCTGATGTTCAAATATTGCTTTAATTTGGTATACACATAAGTACATACATACCTACTGCTTATGCGATAATGTACGTATTGTAGTGTGTGAATTGAGCTTATTCCCAGCTCTGTCAGACGCGCGTCGGAGATTTGACGACTAACTGTTGTTTTCCTCCTTTTGTTCTTTTTGTTCCTTTTGCGTATGTACTTTTCCGTGTATCTGGTTTGCCAATTAGCGAGCGCGGAAAGCAACGAAAAAAGTGGCGCTGACGGCGCTGTGCAATGGCGGGGGAAAAACGGGCGAAAACTTTAGAATGTGGCTGAGAAACTAGACGCTTAGATGCGCCGCTTAGTTAAGATGAATAGCTATTTCTCAAGGTTCATTTATTGATAAGATATACGGTCTGACCCTCAGAAATATACCGAAAAATACGTCACAGTTTCAAAATATACCGTAAATATACTGACAATTTATTTTTAGTCATAGTTTCGGTTGAAAATTACTAACTAGCTAAGAAACTCAGCCCTAAAAACATAAATTTATCCGATTGAGGAATCACTATCCTAGAAGACTGCAACACTTTAAGTTTTCACTTTTCACCTCTAAAGGAAATGTGTACGTTTGTTGATAAGTAGGACCGTTTTATTTTCATATAAGCCCCATATAAGCGCTAGTGGGAAAACATCCGTTAACCCATTTTTAAAAATAAGGTTTTTTTCAATAATATTAAAAAAATGAGATTTTGGTGATAAACGATCAGGAATTCGATGCTGATCACGAATTACTATTCGATGTGGTCTACGACACGGGTCTAAATGGTATTTCTACACGACTTCCACATTGGTGCACTGCACTCCTTAAAACATAATGGAAAATACTAGAAAATACTATGAAAGTATAAACATTTCAAAGGTGTGTACCTGACATGGTGGCAAGAAAGTCAGTGTGAGAGCGGACTTGTCGATCAAATAAACGGTCTCATTTTCAAAATACACCGTAAATATACCTATGAAAAAAAGGAACCACTCAAACTACCTTTATTTAACAGCTTGAGTTAAGTTGCGGAAAAATTACTAATAATAATAATTCTTCTTGTCGATCCATACATTCCTTTATCAGTGCTTAAAAAATAAGACCACGATATTTTTTACCTGAACTGCGATAAATCTTTTCGTGGTTCATAATTTTCGTGGAAGTTATTCTAACTAATATTCTCATCCTAATATTCTAATTATAATATTCTTATATAATAATTCCTTCCTCCTTCCTTCCTTCCTTATTCGGAAATCAAATTCCTCGATTTTGATATTCTATTTAAAATTTCTAGCTAATTTGAACATTCCGTACTGAACATATCGTTTTAGCCGTTAAATGAATAAATGCTCTACTATATTGGCTAATTTTAAATTCCCCTTTCATTTGATTGTGTGAAAAAAGGTTTAAACATATAATGTCGCATTAAACGATTCAATACCGATTCAAAGAGAGCGAAAAAGAATGCTATAATTGGATAGTCGCTGTAGCTGCGCGCCAAAGTCGACTTCTTTGAAAGTGAAAGAGAGACAAGGATATGAATGCACTCCAGTGGCATAAGTGATGCACGTAAATACGACTTGAGAGGTCGCAAATTGAAAAACAAACGATGTTTGGAACTTTCTATAGTACAATTTAATGGATAGATGAAATGTGTGATTGAATTGATGGTCATTATTGTATTAGTACACACCTCATTCAATTGTTACCATTTAATCAATGTAATCTGCTGATTGTCCAATAGGACAGATTGTTAATAAAAACATATGAAAGAAAAGAAAAAATTATATACTGATATACCGCAAATATACCTTCATTCCGATTTCGACATGTTACGAACCTTTGTTTTTCTTTGGGGCAAGGCCGGCTAGCCAGTCATCCCAGGGCTGGATACTTCCCAAGCCCTCAGGTCGCACAACAACCAACTGATTGGACATCTCGAACAAAATGAAACAACAGAAATAACCGACGAAAAAAAACTGAAAAAAAACGGACTCTACTCGACAAACAACATTACAGTCTTCCCTCAACACAGACTTGGACCAGGTCGAGGTGTCGATGTTTTACCCCCGACGCACCCACCCTACCTGAGATCTGAATCACACGTTCCGGATCTCCCTGCCATTGGCAAAAGCCTTACCCTCTCGTTGCTGTGGCTCCTCTTCCCCCCATACGAAACGCTTAACAATTCATTTCTTCGTTATAATTTTTACTTCAGTTTCCTATTTTCACACGATATCATTTCTAAACTAGGCCTGCCTATTCATCCCCCCCTCATCTTAGTACTACTGGCGGTTAATAAATAATTAGATTAATAGGAATAAATAATATAATAAATATAAATAAATAGGTTACATATATATAATAAATATGGACGGACTTAAATTACATACATATACTTATAACTGGAGACGTCCAACAAAAATAATTAATGGGAGTAAATGAGTTGATGTGATTTTTTTCTTCTCCCTAAGTGGGCGAGGGTCCCGCACTACGTGGCCAGGTCTGTTCCTTCGAGACCAGCAGAAAAAACAAGCCAGGGTGGCGGAGCTGTGACCTATTCCCTACGGAAAAACAAAAAATTTGGGGTTTCTTTACTCCCCCTTTGGAGCGGACTCACTCTTATGCTTCCTGGTCCTGGTTCCTGGTCTTTCCCTGATCTGGATCCCCTGGAATCACAGATTTATTTATCTTTTATTCATTTTTTTGCAGGGTGATGGCCACTACTCCATCCTCATCCCACTCACTTTTTCTTTCAGAACAAAAAAAAATCGCTAAGTCACTAGGTCCGGCGCGCATGCTCCTCCGTTGCGGGAATTTTTTTTTCTGAACCCCCTCTTGGCTGTTCTGTTTAATGCTCCCGGCTGCCGATCCCCATCGCTCTCTCTTCTATCGCCCTTGAACTAGGTTCAAGGGCATGGCCTGATTCGGGCTGCTGGCGGCTCTCTTTTCTTTTGGGTGTGGGTGAGTTGGCTTCGGGACTCCGTTATGGGATGAGATCGGAAATCCTCTCACAACGGCTCCGGAGAGCGCGCGGAACTCTTACTCTCCAGGACCAGGTGGCCACTCTTCGCTAACCTTTCCCCTTAAATTTTGGCCCTGCCACTCTGTTCAAAAAAATATATTCCTCTCAGCGCTTCTAGGGTCTCGCCTATCGATATCTTCGCATGCAACAGACGTCAAAATGATCATAAAAATATATAATATACCATAAAGGATTACCCAGGCTTAAAAGTAAAACTTTTTGTTCACAACAGTAGCAATGTTAAAAAATTGATGTATCAATATATTTCAATATTTTTTGTCCGATATGTGGAACTTTTTATTCCTCCAATACAGTCTTCGTATCTTCGTCCTATCTTGTCTCCTCCAGCAAGTCTTTCAAAATCCAAGTATATTTTTTACCCTTTCCTTAGGTTAAGTAAAATTATGCAAAAAAAACACCAAAATTATAATTCATTCAAAGAAGACCAAGATTCTATCTAAATTCCATTTATAGGCAACAACTATGCACATATCAGCATATATAAAATAGAGTATTTAGTGTTACTGTGTGAAGTATATGTAGAATATGAAAACATGCCCGTTTTTGCCGCCAGGTGCCTCCGTGACAATTTCATCCCTGTGTAGTTGCCATGTAGTGGCTGTGTGCATAAATTTGTTATTAGAATTGCAGCGAAAAGAACAATAATTGTGCACGCAGCGAGTTGATTTACTGATCAACGCCCAGAACGATCAACCATGAGCTCCAACAACAAGTCAAAGTTCAAACTGTTTCTCAAACAGGTGACGCCGGCAGGTAACTAATCACTCCACTTGATGGGAGGAGCACCCCCGTCGTGGTAACCTTCTTCTTTATTTGTATTAATGGTGCGTTTTGCACAGGCAATGCAGGGGAGACCAGACTGCGGCCATATGAGCGAGAGCTGCGTCCGGAACAACCCGTTGCACAGCGGTGCAAGATGCTCAAGGAGCTGGGCGACGCGCTGCACAACTTCAACTTGGATGAGGTATGTACTAGACAGACAACAGAGAGCGAAACCAATCCTCATGCTACCAATCCTCCGTCCCCACAGACTTCCATTACCAACCTGTGGAATATCACAAATGATCTCATAGTGCCCAACAAGCCGGCTGAAACGCGACAGATTGCACTGAGCTTCTACAAGCGACTCATCCACACACAGTACAAGAACCTTACTCTCATGCGGGAGAAGTTTTTTCTGGTCATACAGAACCACGAAGCCCGAGAGGACCTGCGGCATCTGCTAGAGCTGTTGGACACACTCACAGAAAACGGGAAGAATATCACAAACTTTGAAGAAAAGGTAAGGTGCTGCCCCAATGCACCATGTGCTCGGAGAACTTTAACTTTATTGCCATGTGTCTTTTTTGGCAGATTGGAAAATTTATGCTGCTGTGGATCCCAGCCATAAACGAGGATAATCTCCTGTGCCCCTACCTTGACATGCTGGTCAATCTGATCAAGTTTAACGCAGCCCATCTGGACAAAGACATTCTCGTTGGAATCGTACAGTGGGTGATCCAGTCAGATATATTCTCAGTATTTGCTACATGCTAAAGTCTTTATCGTCTGTCCAGGAATGCCTGCGAATTGAGCTGCACCCTCACCGACGTCGACATAGGCCTGCAGTGCCTTACCATTTTGGAGATGGTCATTGGCTACACTATATTCCCTAGCGAGGCGCTTCAACAGTGCATCATCACTTTGTGCCGAACCGTCGACTGTTCGCGATACTGCCAGTCCTCCTTCAAGGTGAGATTTTCCTGGATATATATGTATATAAGGATAAAACGAAATGTTTGTCTAATCGATCGGGAATTTTGTGAGCCGCTGGTATTGCCGCAGGCCTTAGTTTTATACCCGGGACTCAGTCAGTATATAGTATAGTATGTGTGAGTTAATGATATATTTAGCTTATAAAACATATTTTATACGTAAGCGCCGGAATTGGTATCGGAGCCGATGACTGCTGCATTCTCTCTCTCTCTCTCTCTCTCTCTCTCTCTATCTCGCTCTCTGTCTTTTGTATCGCTTTTCGTAAAAGGGAACAAAAGGGGGAAGATCTTTCCGCGATCTCTTTGAATTTTGCTCGCAATTGTCATGAGAGATGGAAAAAACAGACAAAAATATAGAAACAACGACTGCCAGTTGTGTTGTTATGTTACTTCTTGCACTTCGCTTATCCTCTTTCTACCTAATGACCTAATTATTATAATTTTAAAATATTTTATCTGATTCCATTTTTCCACTACTGTTTTTTATTCCGCTACATCTGTCAATCTCTGTTTACCTCGCTTCCCTCCGCCCCAAAGGCACACCCAGCACGAGAAAGAGTGTGAGAGCCATATCGACTAGCTATGTATGTACATATGTCTGCTTGTCCGTCCGTCCGTTCGGATATTGATTTGATCAAAATATATACATATAATCTAATGGGTCGAAAACGCTTCCTTCTGTGGTGTTACGCAATTCACCACAAAAATACTATATCCCTAAATTCTTCGGGTACCGGCTAGTTTTTATAGCCTAGCCGAAGCCATGGGATAATGCGATCTGTTTGGCAGGCAAGAAGCTTTTTCAACCAAAAACGGAATATATTTGGCTGTCAGTCCGTAGAAGGGAAATAATCTCTTGGAATATAATACTTAGTGCAGGATAACCCCTACGATAATATAATTATTCCAATTGGAAAATGGAAGTCTATCTATGCCGTGTGCATTCCTCCGGCTTACATTGGCCATTTGTTACGTGTCGATAAGACGATGATGGTATGGAACTTCTAATCGTTTATTAATTAAGTATTTCATATATCTCAAAATGAAACGAACTTTGACGAGAACTTATCGTAGCTACCGAATACTTCCCGTTCCGGTGGTGGCGGTGGTTTCTTTGCTATTGCCGCCGCCTCTGTCTCCTCTTCAGGTTTCTTCTCACTCTCGTGACTCTGGCACTCTCTGGAGACGTCCAGAGTGCAGTAATGGTGTACCGCATCAAAGTACTGGCCCCTGGGACACCTCATCTCGAGGACTCGCCTGTCCGCACAGACATAGTAGCGGCCGCAGTCCCGGCTGTGGGGCGCCAGACGACTGCCTGTGCTGATGCACTCGTCCAGGGCGAGCGCGTGGTCCGTCAGAGCCGGCGGCAGCGTGGGTTTCTCGAAACAGATGCCAGTCGTGTCGAGCAGACAGCTGCCCACGCTGCTCTCAAAGTATTGACCCGCTGGGCACTGAACGAGCACCGCCCTGCCGTCCTCGCAGCGGAAGTAGGTCTCGCAGTCGCTGGGATTCTCCACCGTGGCGTGGTCCGGGAGCAGACAGCTGCACTGGTGGGCTGCCGTCAGGGCCACTGGCAGACAGGCGCGCCGTCCGCTGTCGAAGTAACTGCCACTAACGCAACGCGCCACTGAGTAGGCTCCGCCTGGGGTGCAGCGGCGATAGCGGGTGCAGTCGCTCTGTATGCGCTCCGCACTGGTGGTGGAGTTACAGGTGCTGGCCACGTCGCTGCAGGCGCCGGGCACACAGATCCCCTGCTCGCTGTGGAAGCGATAGGAGGGGGGGCAGCTGAACTCCTGGTAGGGGTCTTCTACATCGCCAGTGCAGACATAGAACTTCCCGCAGTGGTGCTCATCGGGTAGCAGTCTCCAGACGGCCGAAAGCCGGCACACGGACGCGACGCTCGGGTCATGCGAAGCACTGGCAGATGCCGCCAGGAACAGCAGTATCAGCATTAAACGATCTGCAAGCAAATAAGCTTTGTTTTAGTAATCCTTTGATCGAATGTCGATCTCCATTTGCCCCACTCACTTTCCATTTGAATTAGTATCTTGTTGCGCTTCGAATAGCGAATGCGGCACTGGTTTGACGACGGCTACCTTTTTATTTCCTCCACATCACATCATCATTTGGTGGCAATCGCTTCCGAGATTGCATTGACATTCGTTTATTAATGCTAATGAAAATTCCCTCAGTCAATATCTAGTTGGGTATTTGCAATGGAACTCCAGTCCCAGGCACCGTCTTATCAGAGAATTACACATTCTGCGCGACTTCTTATCGACAGCACCGACATGCTCCCAGATGGATGATTAACTAAACAACGATCAATGAATCAGTTTATTCTTCGAATCAATGCTACTCTTCAGCTGTTGGTGTTTTTCCAGCCAAACTCAAGGCCAAAACTCATGCTAAGAGGAACGATGCCTGATAACCCAGTTTGGTCATGACCTCAGGCTCAGCCGCTCTGCCGCTTAGTCGCTCAGGCGCTTATGCGTAGTAGCATCCGATGAGATCCTTAGGCATGCAGCGCAGACCATCGAATCCATCCTGTTGCACCTTGAAGACAGCCGCTCGAGTGCCGTACTCCAGGGCGTCGCGCAGCCGCAGATTTGGCTCCAGCAACGCATAGATGACTGCTGCCGCGAACGTCTCGTTTTCACCGATCACGTCCACGATCTTTTGCGGCGTATGCGGGCCCACCTTGAAGAAGGTGTCGTCGGGCAGCAGGCAGCTGGCCCCCTCCGCATAGTTGTTGTAGATAATGGTGGGGACGTCCTGCGGTGGGGCTGGGCAGTGGCTTGGGTCCACGGGCGGAAAGCCCTGTGTGGGGTGGGGCGTCTTTCGGGGCTGATTCTTCTTCCATTCGGCACGCACTTGACGTAGTCCGTCACGTACGGCCCACACCGTCTCGTGTCCGTTCATGAAGGAATTCGCATGCTTCAGGTGCTTGCGGACAAACACATAGTCCACCAGGTCGGCCACCATCAGGCTGGGCTTCTTGAGGCTGGCCAGGTCGGCGGAAAGGATGATTCTCTCCTCCGGGCAGCGCTCGTTGAAGTCGCGCACGGCCTGTACCATGCGCACCGTTTCCGTGGGACTGCGGGGCTCAAAGTGCACCCACGAAATCATCTGGTAGTCGACGGCACCAAGGAACTGCTGGAAGGTGAGCTCTTGTCGGCGATTCGAGTACTCCAGGATGGTGTGCGTTTCGCAGCCTCGAATCGTGATGATGCTGCGGTGCGTCGGCTGGTGGGCCGACATCGGACAGTGCGAGATGTCGATACCCATCGAGCGGAAGCTGGTCAACAGATCCTCAAACGCCCTGGCCCTGCTCAGTCGCCCAAGGAACTCGCACGCCGTTCCCAGGCGACGCAGAACGCTGCACATGTCCGATGCGCTACCGCCGCGTCGCCAGCATCCCTCGCTGGTGCGCTGATCCACGCCGGCCGTGGGATGAACATCGCACACCGTGACCAGGTCCAAGGTGCAGCTCCCCACCACGAGTACATGGCGTTGGGGCGGTGGCGGCGGAGGTGGTGGCGGCTTTGGCAAGTAGCGCACCTTCTTAACCGTAATAAACTCCTTAACGACAATTTTTTTCATCTTTGGGGAATCGTTTTTTGAATTTTGGAATACAATCTCTGCCAAAAATATTATGGAAATGATTTTAAACACTCGGAAAGAATGAACCGCAAGAATATCATCCGTTTAGGTTGAAAGGATCTTAAAACGATGAAACATGATGGAGAATTCTTATTTTGTTATGCTTTCCATTTTCAGATAATGAAGAACCTGTTGGGCACCCAGCTGGGCTATCATTCCATGAAGATGATGTGCAGCATCCTCAACGATCGATCCCTCTACGACGATGCGCAGCTAGTGCGCGGAGCTGTCTTCCACCTGACGATGAACATATTCGCCTCGAACATCATTTTCCAGGTCTCGTCGATGACGTATGCGACGAATGTCCTCACTGGATTCCTGCGTGTAAGGGCCCCTACTTGTGTATCCATGCGCACACATGTGTATGAGTATTGTGTGTTTTTCCAGGTACTGGATAGTCAGCAGGTGATCGTCACGTACGAGGTGATCCTCAGCGTGCGCATGGTGATTAACAAGGCGCGCCTGTCGGAGATCATATGGGACAGGATCTGCGACATCATGTCGGCGATTGTGAACAACATTGAGTATTACGGTAGGTATTACAAGCATTACGGACAACGTTTATCGATGATTAATTGATGTCCCATTCACACAGAGGTCACCGGCATGAACAAGGATCGCCTACAGTATCTGCAGATAAGTTTCCACGAGAACATCGACTGCATCGAGAAGCTGCTGCAGCAGGATCGCTCTCAGATACTGGGCAATGTCGATCGCATCTACGATCTCATTGAGCGTGTGGCAGAGAGGCGGCCAGAAGCCTCTGTGCTGGCCCTAATCGAGTACCGATCGCGTCAGGTGACCGCCACACGACCGGAGTGGCTGCAGGTGCTGACCCACTTCGTCCGCCGCTACTACCGCATGTCCAATGTGAATGTTCGCATAAAGACGATCGAGTCGCTGGTGCGCATCATGGACCAGAACCGCCCCTGCTACGAGGAGGAGATACTCAACCGCGTGGTCCTCACCCATCTGGCACAGATCCACCAGGAGCCCAGTGTGCAGGTGCGCGTGGCAGTGGCGCGGGCGCTTTCCAACTTTGCTCTGCACTGCGACACCAAGCGCTGTGTGGATCTGCTGGACACTCTTGAGGCGCTCATTAACCGTCCCTTCGATCACATGCGTCATCTGGCAGCCGCTGATTCTGGTGCGCCTCTGCTGGAGGGGTTGGTGGCCATAAAGAATGAGTCGGAGGTGGCCGACATCATCGCTGCTGTCGATGGGCTGGTCAAGGTTTTTGCCATCAAGCTGCATCGCCTTCCGGCTGTGCATGCCATGAAGATATTCAACATTTTGCTGGAGCACCTTGAGCTGCACTACGATTATCCCAAGATCTTCGAGCAGACCAGTATTGTGCGGCTTAAAGTGAGTAAAGGAACTTCTTACCTTCCTTTTTATATAACTTTGCCTATCGCCATAGATATTCACTTGGATACTCAAAGCGCGTGCCAACGCCTCCTACCATATTGGCTATCCAGAGGGCAGCAATGAGGCGGTAAAGTTCAGCCATTATTTGGGCATTGACTCGCCGCTGCTGCCGCAGGCCCATGCCACTGCGATTTCGATACGACGCGTATGCAAGCTGATTGTGCGGTGCCTGGAGCAGGACACGGACTTTCAAGTGTTCGAGCTGGTCATCAAGGAGCTACCGAAAATGCTGCAGAACAAGGCACTCATCCAGGGCAATGACATCGAGGAGCTGGCCAACACCCTCTTCAAGATCAATTCAGTCAGCAACAACAAGTTCAAGCGCTCCACCGACGAATTTCATGCTCTGGTGCTGCCCGCCATCGCCTCGCTGGTGATCTACCACGAGTGCCTGCAGCCGCCTCAGCACTACAGCATCATCACGGCCCTCAATGCCCGCGTGCTCACTGGCATCGCCAGTGTTTGCATCAACACCATGACCATCCTGATACTGGAAATGCCAGAGTCGCTGATGCGGAAGCTGCCGGAGGTGCTGCTGCAGATGAGCAAGATGTCCGACACGAACACCCTGGCCATTCCAGTGCTGGAGTTTCTGTCGTGTAAGTAAATGAAATATCCAGAGGACTTTTACCCTCTATTTTGTTTGGCCAGTGCTGATCCACCTGTCGAAGCATCTCTTCACCAACTTCACGTCCATGCACAATATGTACGTGTTTGCCATCTCACTGCCGTACACGAAGCCGCATCGCTACGACCACTACACGGTGTCGCTGGCCCACCATGTCATAGCCGGGTGGTTCCTCAAGTGCAAGCTGGAGCTGCGCAAGAACTGCGTGAGCTACATCAAGAGTGTAAGTAGAGAGACCCAGACATTGTAATCTGCTCTGGTTGATTGCGTCCTGTTCCACAGTCGATGCAGTCGAATGCCAAGATGCTGTCCAATGACATTGTCAACCTGAACTCCCTGAACGAGGACTCGTCCAGCCGCAAGCGCAGCACCAGTCTCACAGAGCGCGGCAGCCGGAAGAATGCCACGGCCCGAAATGACCCCGAGATGCGGCCACAGATGAACAACGGGCTGCGAAACTTCCACACGGAGCTGGCAGAGACCTGCTTCGATTTTCTCTCCCGTCACACTTTCTCGCCCTGTCCGTCGCCACCAAAGCGGTACGTATGAAAGCCTCTTAAGACCCTCTTTTTAACCCCTTTGCTTCGTTGCAGTCTGCCTGCAGCCGAGTTTTTGCTGAAGGATGGTGTCTCGCAGACCTGGCTTGTGGGCAACAACCTGGTGACCATTACCACTTCCGGCTGCCCATCTGCACCCACGCGCAGCGGCCTCTGTGAGCGGTGCGCGCATCTGGGCAAGGCCCCCAGCATCAGCCTCAATTCGAAGAGTCTGAGCGATGCAGCTGCACCGCTCTCCCCCGAGCGGGAGCGCCGCTACACGAAGGTGAGCCTGCAGCACAGCAGCGGCAACGAGTCGGCCGGTAGCACGGAGCTCACCTCCTCCTCCTCGTCCAATTCGGCGGCCACCAACCATCCGCACCGACAGATCTCCAACAGCTCGACAGCCTCGCTTGATGCACTCTCGCGTCGGGGTTCCAACCCCGAGGCACTGGGCGGAGGAGGGTTTGGCGACGGACCCCATACGGGAAGTAACACCTCGCTGCTGGGCAACTCCTTGTCGCAGTCTTCGGCCAGCATGAGTCCCGCGGGATCTGTTGTCCAGCAGCCGGTTTGTGTGCGTGCCTGCACCGGTTGGGCGGAGATCTTTATCCGGCGTCCGACTGGCAACATCTCGTGGATCACGCGCATCCAGAACCCCATCACCAACGACTGCTTCGGACAGGATCTGCCCTTCAACAATGTCGTATCGCTCTTCCTTCCCACGGCCTATGGGGGCGTGTTTGGGCCGGACAGCACTCTGCAGGACAACGCAGTGCAGGTACAGCCGCAACCGGAAGCAGATGCGGAACAGGAAACGGCAGAGCAACAGCCCGTGAAACCACCCAGTCCCAGTCCGGCTGTAGCCGCACCCACAAGCGAACTGCGGGCCAAGGCCCGCGCCCTACAGCGTCAGGAGGAGATTCATTCGGTTGGCGGCGTTGGCAGCGGTAATGGCAATGGAAACGGCAACGGTAGCGGTCCTTCGGGAACTGCAGCCATTCCCATACCACGTGTTACTGCACCTGGCAAGCGCGGCAAGGAGGCAGCTCTCTGCGGGAGTGTGAGCGATGGCGAGGCCGACGACGACTCGCTGGCGTTTGAAGATGCGCAGAGCCGGGCCCGAAATCCCGTGCGTCGAGTTAACTCCAGCCCAGAGATGAGCTCCAGCTGGCGGCAGGCGTTTCTGACCGCCAAACCGGCGCCGCTCTCTCAGGAGCCGGTTAAGACGGTGGATGAGCCACAGAGCCAGCTTACGCTGAAGAAGAAGAGTGTCCAGTACAGCACCAAGGACATGCGCGTCAGCTGCGAGGCCATTCCGGAGGAGATAGCCGGCTCAACGCCTCCGCAGGTTGCCCAAGACCTGCAGCCAGAGAGCAGCACCTTACCGCCCAAACAGCATTCGGCGGATGACGTCAGCAGCCAGCATGCGTCGGCGGGAATCACCTTGCCCGCGGCTCCGGTTTTGCAGGTATCGGCGGCCAAGCCTCCGTTGTCGCCGGCTCTAGCTCCACCTACGGCTACAACAGTGCCTGCCGTGAAACAGCCACCGCTGCTGGCAGCGAGCAAGATCACGAGCTTCGGCGGTGCGTCTGGGCCTCCGCAGCAGCAGCAGGGTGTGGCCAAGTCCAGCAGCAGTGGCAGCAATGGAACGAATGTGGGCGCCACCTCGGAGTACGGAAACAATGGCAACGGAAACGGCGACATGATGCGGGGACGATCGAAAACCATCTCAACGGTGCGTGAGGTGATCAATGGCAAGGCGCGTCCCCCGCCGGCCAGCAGCTTCCGCAACTTTGGACCCACCAAGCCGCCGATCAATGCCAAGCTGTGCATGAATCCCAGCTTTGTGTTCCTACAGCTGTACAGCACGGGGTCACTGGGAGTCACGGAAATGCCACTGAAGCTGGGGCCCGAGCACTCGAATGCCGTGACGCTGTTCGACCTCGTGCCGCCATTTGAGACGCACAAAATCGGCGTGCTGTATGTGGGCCAGGGACAGTGCAATAACGAGGTCGAGATCCTGCGCAACTCGCACGGCAGCACGCGCTATGTGGAGTTCCTGCGCAACATCGGCACCCTGGTCAGTCTGAAGGAGGCCGAGCAGAACAACCTGTTTATTGGGCTCGACAGGAACGGGTCCGATGGCAAGTTTGCTTACATCTGGAAGGATGACATTCTGCAGGTAACCTTTCACGTGGCCACGCTGATGCCCACCAAGCTGAAGGACGATCCCAACTGCAACGAGAAAAAGGGCCACATCGGCAACGATTTCGTGAAGATCATCTACAACGAGAGTGGCGAAGAGTATAACCTGAACACTATATCCGTAAGACCCAAGCGACTCCCACGCTCGTTAAAAATGTGGTCCGCTAAATGAGTTCTCATTTCCAGGGCCAATTTAACTATGCCTGCGTGATTGTCGAACCCCTGGAGCTGAACTCCAATCGGGTCTATGTGAAAGCCCGCTCCGAGATATCAAAGTTTGTCTGCCATCCACAGCCGAGGATTGTGTCCGACCGCAGTGCTCCGCTGCTTGCCCGTCAAATGGCGCTGCATGCCAATGTGAGTAGAGCCATTTAATGAACCATTTGGTTGCTAACTAATTCTTACGTTGTCCTTCAGCTTGCCTCGCTAGTCTACCAGAGTGTGCAAAAGCAGAACCCGTATGCCTCCAATTGGCTGGAACGACTGCGCACGATAAAGCGCCTGCGGGCCAAGGTAGGTTTCCCCTCCTTGTGGCATAACTAAGGAAAATGCACCCTAACAGAGCCTTGTCTCCCTCCACAGCTCATCGAAGCCAACAACAGTCAGCAGCAAAGTGGTTCTTCGAGCGGCATTGGCATCAACTCCTCAGCGATCGGCTCGGACATGGACGACCAGCGAGCGGACTTCATAAAGTTCACATAGACAACTACTGGGCATTCGAATGGGAAGCGAGGCTCTAAGCTTGGGAGCAGTAACAATCATTCTGCCGTGCTCCCCACACATATTTCTGGATACCGGCAGTCGCATCTGATGATGCTAAAAACATATAATCATAATACATACACACATACATACATATATTCGTAATGACTTTGACAAGTTTATAAAATTTGTGAAAATACAAAAGCTCTGCCATCCTTGAGGATGCAGCAAGAAACTTTCAACGAAAATAAGGCAGAGTTTCTGCAGAGCCACTTAGGAGTGGATTATGGAGACTTTCGATAGGAATATCTTTTAAAACCAAGCTGCTGGAGCTATTTCCCATTGTTTCTAGGCCAATCTAAGCTCTCCAATGTGATCATAGCCGAATTTGTTGATCTTGTGGCTGGCCACACGATTGGCAAAGTCCACAGCCTCCGCTAAATCCCACTTATGCACGTGGGTGCCATAAATGAAGCCAGCCATGAAGCTATCGCCCGCGCCCAGTGTGTCCACCACCTGTTTGGGCTTGTACGGAGGCAGCTCGTGGTAGTTGCCACTGGCATCCAGGCAGACTGCGCCTGCGCTACCCCAGGGACAGATGATCACCGGTGGTTTCAGTGTCCCCTGCAAAGACAGGTTGGCGGCAAGGAATTCGCAAGTGTCTTTGGGGCTCTTCCAGCCCTTCTGGCTGGCCAGTTCTTTGGAGAAGACCACATAGTCGCAGGGATAGCACAACTTCAGGTTCTGTTCGTACAGCGTCTCGAAGTCTAAGGATATGATAATGCGTTCGCCGCTGTTGCGGTTGTGCTCTACAATGCTTTGCATCATCCTGGAAGTCTCTGCGACATTGCGAGCCTCAAAGTGGACCCATCCGTATCGCGTTAGGTCGATCTTCTTGAAGTCCTCCCAGGTGACTTGCGGATAGTTCTTGTTGCAGTGGATGATGGTGCGCGTGCCAGAGTCCTGGGCAAGGATCACCGATGAGAACGGCGGGTCCTTGTCCGTTTGCGGACAGTGGCTTGTGCCGATGTTCCTCCGCCGCAAATCCTCCAGCAGCACTCGAAACGCATCCGATCTGCTCAGCATTCCAAAGAAGTCAACCTTCGACCCCAGCACGCCCAAGACAGTGCTCACATTGGAGGCGTTGCCGCCTCGCTGCCAGAAACCGTCCAGGCAGCGTCGATCGGTGTCCTCCTTGGGGTAGCTGCTGGTGATCGTCACAAAATCGATGACCGTGCAGCCCACGCATAGCACGGGCTTGCCGACCGTCTCCTCGGTCATTACAACACAGATCTTTTCCGGTCGGTCACTTACGCGATTATCGGGTGTGTTCTTCTGGGCTTACAGTCTTCTATAGCTCTATTTTCCACTCAATCTAATCAGAATCTACGTGTGTTCGCTGTGAGGGCATACATTGCACCATTTTCTACTTGTATTTACTGTCGATCGTTTTTTACAGCTGTTTTGATACTCTGCCAAGGGTATTACGAATATGTTTAGACCTCATAGTATATACATATACAGAATTACTCCACGACAGATAGCTGATCCGCCGAAAGAGTAACTAAAGCTTCGACCACCCAGCAAATTTAGCAAAAGTTCCCTCGATTGCTTATCGAGCGGAGAGAGCAATTCAGCCGCTGATCGCGCTCCTACGTTTCCCTCAGTATTTATTTCTCTTAGAAGTGTGCTCTTAACTGCTGTACAATTTGCTTTGTATACGGAACGGAACTCGTACGAAAGATTGTGCTGCCTGAAAACAGAAACTGAAAGAGTATTCAATGTTTCGACCCTTCGATTAGTAGACTGCACTCAATTGGTCGCGTCGCTCCAATTGCATGTCATTAAAGGCCGACCATAAACATTAAGCCAGACCGCTATTATTGAATTAACATAAGTATGTAATGCCGATTGATTCATGCTGTATATGAATGTAAATTGATTGGTTTCATTCCATTTGCTCAATGCCTCACGCGGATGTCGAGTTGTGTACATTTGTATGTGAATGTGGCAGGAAGCTTCGAAGGAATGTTCGTTCAGCGGATGACCCCCCAAAAAAAGATTGTATGTCGAATTTTTATTGACTGGCATTTGGGAATTATGATAATTTGCATAACATGATTTCGTTACGTCCCGCGCAAAAGTCGGTCGTGTCTGCATCATGATGGGGCCGAAATAAACGAATTCCGCACCGCAAATACCATGACTAGACAGACACATGGGGTTACCATGGGGCGCTACCACGACAATAAGCTCAGCAAAACTTTGCTTTAACGAACAAGCAGCGAACAAAGTTCAAACATTTTCCCCGCTTGCCTGCGTTTGAGGTGTGTACAAATTCATTAAAAGGATTACACTGCAGTAATTACATACACATGCACGAGGAATACCTACATACATACGTACAGATTAACATTAATTAATACAAAACGTCTGTTCTTGCAGTCCTCTATGGCTGGGGAGTGGATAGGGAACCATTCTACCACTTTCTATCCGTTCTTTTCCGTTCTGGCTACAAGTTTAAAGCTGTTCCAGTAAAAGCTGCACAAAGGCTATCCTTTTTGGAGGCATAAGCATAATTTGCACATGGTTGCGAAATGAGGAATTCCACAGATCCTTGTGCCCTCGAAATGTCGCTACTCAAATAAAGTTCTTTAATTAAAGTGTCTGGAGTGGGAGGCGAGACAGCCGGGCGGGCTTCAAGCCGCACAAACAAACTTTTAAAGCGGGTTAGACGGTCCTCCTCCGACTCCGACTTGGCCGACTGTGCGCCTCTCCCATAAATCGATAGCTCGACATTTGCTTGCCTCCGTGGCCGCGTGGTCTGTCGCGGCGACACTTTCTTGAGGTACCATTTTGCGGCGTGGAATTATGCCTTAAAGTGTCAATCACTGGTAAATGCTCTTAATAGGCATTTATTTTTGCCATTTTAATTACCCCGTCCCTTAAAGCCACGGGGACGGAGCTTGGTGTTTGGCCCCCCTCGCCCTGCCAACGGACAACCGACAACCGACAACGGACTGATGAAAACGGCTGATGATGGCATAATTACTTTCTCGCGAGAAGAACTCATTTCCGACAGAATTACTTATGTAGAAATATGGGTCGCGTCGCTCCCGGAATATTAGCCCAGAAGGTGTTTACAGCCGATTCTATGATTTAGTGGCACACCTACGTGAGTTGCCAAGTTAAAGCAGCACACAGCAAAAAGAATAAGTTGTAATATTGCTGACATCTTCAGAACTTCGATTGTGCGGGGATTTCTCCACTGTGGTACAGTGGTCTAATCGACGCAGAATCAGTATAAAAGCGGGCCAACATTTACTCAAAAGAAGGCTGATAAAATCGATGTAAATAGTTCTACAGTTCTTAGTGATTTCTCTGACTATTTTTGCCTTAGACAAGACAAGCCAGACAGTGTTCACTGTATGGCCGAGTGGGATTATCGCGTGCGTGCCAGTCTTGCTTAACGAATTCAACATTTTGCATCGAACGGCACACACTCCCAAAGCCCTGATGGCCCCAAGCAACAGTTAACACAAACTGGCCAATGGTAATAGCACACTGGAGAGCGCCCCGACCCCAACTCCAGACCAAACGCCAGGTAAGGGTCACCGTCGGCCCCCGCCTTCCCAGGATCTGGCAATAAAAGTGCTGCTGTTTAATGCAGAACTGTGTACGTGAGCCTGGGGCTTGAAATTCGAGGCTGGTTTGTTTAGCTCTTAACTGCAGTTTCAAGCCTTTGGATGCGATGGGTATGGCTCTCGAAATCATTCGGTTTTCAAACAGCCCTATGTGCAGTCCACCTGAATACGTAGGCTGCCTTTTATCGGACATATAGGGCTAATCGATTGGTAGGACTATCAGGAACAGACATGCCACTCCCAGATCGGCTAATATAAGTCCGATGTATAGCGTACAGAAAAATGATCTCTACAGAATGGTGTTTAAAATCCACTTTCCAGGTTTTGGAGCTAAGAGAGAGACCATGGCATCTGATTGCAATATTTGGATTATACGCTTAGTGTTTTTGTTTAATAAATTGTCCTGCCCACGTTGCATATTTGTAGTGTCTGGCATAAGTATTGCTCGTATTGCTCCAAGAGTAAATGTTTTATGATAATCAAAATATGATGAACAATACTCGTACATATTGGAGTGCGTGCATATGTATGAGTACTCGTATGTTTGCACATACAATCGTGGTGTGCAATCAGGTTAATGTATTCAAAACGAGCGTCGCGTCGTATGCACACACAGCCCATAAATAATATCCCTCGCACCGTTAGTCAATTCCCCAGCCTTTGCGAATGCCAACAGTCGCCTCAAGTGGCCGCCACTGACAGATGTACAAATACGAGTGCACAACGGGATTGTATCTCTATAAAAATGGAGCCTCAAGGCTTGGAGCGTGGGAGGGAAATGGAAATGAGCTCTGCATATGAGAAATCTGTTCAACTGAATCGTGACCCAGAGAGTACTTAACAACGACAGATAACTCAATTGAAAGTAACTGATTCGATTCCAGCTTTCTTCGGTTCGGTAATCTCTTGCTATGCTATCGAAAGTAATTTTGTTTGGGGAAAATCAAAGCAAGCGTATCAGTTTTTTTTAAAGACCTATGTATAATGTACAGACAATATAGCTCGGATTTCAGGAAACTTTGTTGCCCTATTAACCGCTCCCCTCTTTGATTTGAAATAAATTGATTTTATGCTGGGAATAATTGATTTTACAGATACTTCTTAGTCGAACACTGGCTTTGCTTTACCTTTCTTAGACCTGAATTAATGGTCCTTTGTGCAAACGGCCATTTTCTGAGCGGAAATTAACTCCCATTTTTATCATCGATTGATAAATGGTGTCGCTGTTTGGAAACTCTTCTTAAAGATAATTAAATATGCATATATATAATTCATCATTTTCTATGTCGATACACAATCGGATTTCGTAAGGCTTTAAACTCTTGGAATCCTTCTCTGCTACTCCTCTGGATTGGCGAGTATCTCTCGTATCCCTCGTGTGTGCGCGACGTGTCGGTATCAGTATTGGGAGGCATATAGTAAATTCTCATGGCATAAATTAGGGAAATAAATTATATTTATCAATGAAACTCATAAATAATATTTCCTGCCGCCTCTGACAGCACACCTTGCTGACGTCGCTCCTTTGGCATGGATGTGGCCGTGGCCCCCCATTGGGTGTGAGTGTTTGTGCGGCGCTGTGTCTGTCTGTGTCTGTGTCGTATAGCTCACAAAGCATCAATCAAAAGTATTAAATACAATTATAATTGTCTGTCACCGTATCGAGATGAAAAGCCTGCCGCCACCGAGGATTTTCCGCTTGCTGCGACACATCTCCAGGGATGGAGCTGGATGCCTTTAAGACCTCGACTCCGTTCCAGTTGAAGTGTCGACTGTCATGTGTGTGTATTCGACGGAGCAGTGGATTTATGACGCTGTCTCATTAAATTTTGATAGCAACACCCAATATGTTGCCATAGTTTAACATTGTAACATTGTGGCAAGGGTTTCCTTTGGAGATCTGGTCGAGGCAGGTGCATCTCTTGCACTGGATTAATTTTGTTCTTCGTTTTGGGTGCGGTTTTAGGAGTCTTGCATTCAGAACATGCCGAGAATGGCTGCACACTTAGGAGCAGAGACGACCGCAAGGCTTGAGAAAATAAAATGTTTAACTTCCGGATGCACAGTCCGTTGAGTTTCCGAGTAAGGCGCCCAAAAGTATGCAAGGAATACCATGCAGATTCTTCATGCTTCCGGCACTTGACTGCATGCGAAAGGTCTGCCCGTGCCCCTGCTCCTGCCCCTGCCCCTTCTGGGCCATCTGTGCGCGTGGGCACCCTGGGCCATCTGCCTCCAGCATGAAAAGCGGGTGCGAGTGCAGCTGAAAGTGAAGCGCAATTTCCGGCGTCTCTGCCAGAAGCAGCCTCCATTCTCCATCCTCCATTCTCCATCCTCATTCTGTCTAATTTCTCTTTCACTCGTAACTGGGGAACAACAGCCGGGGAAATGAAAACATATTGCTGCTGCTGCGAACGAGCGGGGCGGGGCGGGGCGGGGTGGTGCGGGGCGGTGCGGGCAGCCATTGTCGAACCTTCATCGGTAATTGGGCACGGACAGTCGAGCGAACAATCGAACTACGGGCAAACAATACTCGTAAACACTCAATGCATTGGCTCGAGTTTAATGACACTTTGCATCGGTGACGATGACTCCTCTCGACTCGGACAGCAATTGGAAATTAAACAAAGCCGGCAACCGACCCGAAGGGGACCCCGAATTCCCACACCCGGCCAAGGAGGGGGCCGCAGGAATATCGCTACCAGGATGGGATGGGCAATCGAGGGATGCGGCTCTGACCGGCATGTTGGATCGAACGCCGGCCACA